AGTACGTACTGCTCAATAAACACTGCAGTGAAGCCTTGATTATTCTGCATTTGTGTCCTGCGTTTTGATCCCACATTACAGTAAGCCAGCAAACCTCTGGAACTATCTACTCATAGGAAAAGTTCTGCATGATTTTTTTTTTTTAATGTATAATGAAGTGACTTGTGTGATTTCAAATTGCAGTCTATGTGTTGGCACTATAGCATCTGTGGGCACAAGTGTATCTGTCATTCCAAAAAACATTAAACAAGCAAACAGTAAATTGTTATTTTTTTTAAAAAATCAGAATATTTGCAAGGGATATGACTTTTTAGCAGTATCGCACAAGATAACTGAAATTCTGTAAGATGTACCATGAGATCTAAAACTTGTGCAAGATGTCACAACGTTCTGGCATTCTTGTTTGGGATCTTCTGGTAAGGTCACTAAGATCTCATGACATTTTGAGCTAAGTTTTCAGTTTAGCTTTGTCTACTTTATAACGTTTAGTATGATTAAGAATATATTCATCCACTTTTTTTTTAGGGGCAATTATGCAGGAGTACGCCCTTATAAAGAGGGAAGACCATGTAGTAACTGTCCAAAAGGAGACACTTGTAAAGACAATCTCTGTAGTAAGTACAAATCTGAATGAAATAGTAGGAGGGGAAAAAAAGGATTCTTATACATACAATATATTAAAATCATTTTGATATTCAGTCTTGTCAGGTTTTATTGTTTTGGGCACAGCAGTGGTATTTTTCTCCTCTTTAGAAAAAAGTTAATATTTGAACTTTGATGCATTGCTGTAAGAGATGTAGATACAGATTTTCCAGTCTGTATGGCCTATAGGAGGGAGGTACATTGGATCTGGGTACTACAGAGTACATATCTGTCCATTCCCCAAATGAGCAGTTTATAGAAATAGGGGTAAACATTCTATTCTATCAGTTTGACAGTTCTGCTTGTATTTTAAACAATGATTAATGGGCATTCACTGCTACCACTACTTAATGTGATATTCATTCCTATAAGAAATGTAAATGGATCAAGGGAAAATATTTCTAAAAGCTTTAACACGCTTGTCTTAACCATGTTTATTTTTAAAAACAGGAAATCCTGAACGTGACAAAGAAAACAGCAAGCGTATGTATTACAATTGCTTTTTATATTTTAAATTTACTTTTAAAAGAAGATCATTAATTCTATCTCTTTTTTTTAAAAACCTAGGTTATTCACGATGGTATCCACCATTTGAAAGCCGGATTATATGTGATCCATCTTGCATTGCTGTTGCAGTTTTAAGGCCATTGTTAATGTTTCTGGCATTTGCAGTTGTTTATTACTTACAAATCCAGTATCCAAGTTTAAGTTTTTCGAAATAATCTTCAGTGTACTATATACACAAAACTGTCTCTGATGACTTTGGTTAATTATCAGATTACATTTACATAAATTGTTAACTTTATTTTCCTGTTCTGTGTTTTAAAAGTAGATTTGGTTCACTGTTTTTACGCAATTTTGTCAAATTCTCAAGGCTTTTTAATTCAGATGATACTAATATAAAGTAAAATATATTTAATACGTTCCATGTTATGTAAACATGTATATTAAAACAAGTAAGTTGTGACTAATAAATGCTAATGTGATAAATTGCACATACCTGCTGTATATGTATTGTTCCCAACTCCTTTTAACTCAAGTATGTATGATTGCACTAAGAATCACGTTCAGGAGGCACTTGCGTATGATTATTGACTAGGGCACAGTTGTGTGGCTCAGGGTTGCTCGGGCACTGCATTTAGATCTGGCAAGTCACAAAGTCAGGAGCCATTAATTTGATTACTATACTAATAAAGGCGTTCTTAATACTGACAAAAAGTTTGATAAAAGCAATATTGACATTCTGAATTATACTCTGCATATCATATGTACATGCATTTATTGCTCTTGTTCATACCCACTACCGGTATGTGCTTCCCTATCTTCTCATTACATGCAGGACAAAAAATGTCTAAGCCTCCCAGGAAACCTGTAAGTACCACAGGCAATGAATTAGAGAACTATATTTCAAACAGAAAATTATTGTATTTAAATAGGCTTCTGAGGTTTACTGGTTTTTTTATAAAATCTAGTTATTTGTGGAAAAGAGACACCTAACTGACTCTTTGAGCTCAGAATACATTTAGTAACACCCATACCAGCTAAAATTGTTGCAAACAGTGAGTTGGTATATAAGGTACAACAAATTACAATATCTAAGGATCAAATTTGGCTGCTCTCTGTGTGTTATTTATTTATTTATTTATTTTTCGAATTTGTGTGCCACCCATCTCCCCCAATGTGTTAGATTCAGTCTACATCATGGGCCTGTTTCTATAATCCAATCCAACATCTTTGATATAAAAGAAAGGCTTGTATTTTCTGTATAATGACTTTACCATGTTTTCCCTATATGTATGCAGCCTCAGCCTGGCTGACCTGGCATAAAACTATCTTCTATATGATTTTTTTTTTTTTATCTGCGCTCAGTCGTTACCGACTCTGCAGTGACTGCTTGGACGAG